AAGTGCTGTGCCCTCCCTTCCAGGACAATAATGGTGTGATCGGGCTTTTGGAGCCTATGAAGAAGAGCATGGTACCTGTGCAAGTGCAGTTGAGTATGCCTGTGGTGAAGGTGGCCTCAGGTGAGTCTAGGGGTACTTGCTCTGAGCAGGAGTTGGAGGACCTTGTTTTGGGTCTGGCCCAGCTTTGGGCCTAATAGACGAGCCCTGCATCTGGGTTCGAGTGCCATGTTCCCATTTCTCTCACCCTCAGGAAACGACCACTTGGTGATGCTGACAGCTGATGGTGACCTCTACACTTTGGGTTGCGGGGAGCAGGGCCAGCTGGGCCGTGTGCCTGAATTATTTGCCAATCGTGGTGGCCGGCAGGGCCTTGGTAGGTGGCCTAGGTTCCTTTGGCTGGGCAGCTTGGCAATCCACCTCTAATGAAGGTCAAAGGCAGGAGGGATTTTTTTGTGTGTGTTCAGGGTTACATCAGATAGACTTGCAGTGGTAGTTAAGAACTTTGACTCTAGAGCCAGGCTACCCTGGATTTGAGTCCTGATTCTACTACCTATTGGCTGTGGGACCTTAGACATAGTTTCCTCACATCTAAACCTACCTACTTCGTTGGGTTGTTGTGAGGTTAAATGAGTTAACATAGAAGAATGGCTGGCACCTGGTAAGTTCCATGTAAATGATACTTCTTTTTCCGTGGGAGTCTGAGTGAGGTGTTTGTATTCTCTTGGCTTCAGTTACCTCTTCAGTACAATAGGGAGAAAGTCCCCTCTGAGGGCTTTCGTAATGGAGGGGAAACTAATACAGGCCAAAGAGGAGAGGCTGTGTGTGTCTGCCATTGACCCCGGCTTCTTCTCTGCCTGCAGAACGACTCCTGGTCCCCAAGAGTGTGATGCTTAAATCCAGAGGAAGCCGGGGCCACGTGAGATTCCAGGATGCCTTCTGTGGCGCCTACTTCACCTTTGCCATCTCCCTCGAGGGCCATGTATATGGCTTTGGCCTTTCCAACTACCATCAGCTTGGTGAGTCTCGAGCCCAGTGTCCAGCATAGCCCAGGGTGACCTAGATTCCAGTCCTGGCTCCACTACTCATTTATTGTACACCCTTGGTAAGATCACCCCTCAAAGCCACAGTTTTGTCATCTGTAAAGTGAGACTATTTATACTCTGGTGAAGGGTAGGAAGGCCTCAGTGTGGGAGGGGATGTAGAAGGACAGCCTCTTGGACACTTTCAGCCCTAACAACTCTGTCCTGGTCCTTCCCCCCAGGAACCCCAGGCACAGAATCTTGCTTCGTGCCCCAGAACCTGACATCCTTCAAGAACTCCACCAAGTCCTGGGTTGGCTTCTCTGGTGGCCAGCACCATACAGTCTGCATGGATTCCGAAGGTGGGACCTCCAGGTTGGGAATGCCGTGTTCCCTGGGCACAGGCCTGGCCTGACTCTTGACACCATGGTCCTTGGAACCTCGGTTTGCTCCATGGGTTGGGGTAAATGTGGGTTCATGAGAGTCACCCCCATCCCTCAGAGTCCTGGTGCTCTTACAAGTGTGAGTTCAATGGGAGTCTATGGGGATTCTCCCAGGCCTCCCACAAAACTGGAAGAGACACTGCAGATCTCTTTCTCACCACCCTGGGAACAGGGAACAGCTCCCATGGATATAGGAACTCGCCTGGCCAACCTGAAACATATTCTCTGCTACTCATCTCTCTCCTTCCTCCTACAGGGAAAGCATACAGCCTGGGCCGAGCTGAGTATGGGCGGCTGGGCCTTGGGGAGGGTGCCGAGGAGAAGAGCATACCCACCCTGATCTCCAGGCTGCCTGCTGTCTCCTCAGTGGCTTGTGGGGCCTCTGTGGGGTATGCTGTGACCAAGGATGGTGAGTGGGGCTGCTCTTACTGGGTCTGGTTGGGGCCTGGGGTCGCAATTCTTACCAAACTGCCCAGAAGGCTCTGATGTCCAGCATCAGACGGAGCTGAGATGCCAGTGTTTGCAATAACATTGTCAAAAGCTCTGGCTTTGATGAACACAAAATGAGTAAACAGATTATTTTAATAAAAGCAGTTTGTTCTCTAGAGGAGAAAAACAGCAAAGGGGGATATATAACTGAGACCTGGCTAGGCAGTAGGACTTGAACCCAGATCTCCACACTAACTCAGGCTTCTCTTTACGTTTTCTACCATGATGACCCCTTTATTTACAACCTAGTATGTGCCAGCTTCCCAGGGAGTTATACTTAGAATTTTATTAGGAGAAAGAAGGCTTGTAATTAGGGTTCTAGCAAGCACAACCGAGGAGAGTGTGAGCAAGCAGTTGGCAAAGCATGAGTGGGGGAGTGGGACAGCCATGGAGGCCTTGAGAAGTTGAGCTGGTAGAGGTGCTTGATCTGGGATTATCTGGAAAGAGTTCCTGAACTTGGGGCTTCTACTACACCATGAAGGTTCAGTCCTTTATGATAAGCAAAGGACATCCAGAGCAGTCTCAAAGGTGTCTGGTCCTGGGAGTGGAGTGGTATAGAGGTTTGGGGTGTGGCCAGTCATGTAGGGCCTTGAATGCCATGCCTAGGAGTAGGGAGAAGTCTTTGGTGATGTGTAAAGACTGTGGTCTCTGGATGACAGAACTCATCCATCATCTCCTTGACCTTTCCCAGCTTCCCTGAACTCCCAGAGGCTAAGACATTGCCAGGCTGCTATAGGCCAAGGCCAAAATTCACTTCTCTCACTACAGAAAGAAAGGTGGGGCTAGGGATCCTAGAGAAAGCTGCCCCTGTTTCTCTTTCTTGTAGGTCGTGTTTTTGCCTGGGGTATGGGCACCAACTACCAGCTGGGCACGGGGCAGGAGGAGGATGCCTGGAGCCCTGTGGAGATGACAGGCAAACAGCTGGAGAACCGTGTGGTCTTATCTGTATCCAGTGGAGGCCAACACACAGTCTTACTAGTCAAGGACAAGGAACAGAGCTGATGAAGTCTCCGAGGGCCTGGCTCCTGGCCCCTCTGCCCGCCCTCCCAGAACAGGAAAGCCATGATGATTACAGACTCCAGCAGGCGTCCCCTGGCCCCAAGTACTCTGTCATCTCCTTCCTTTTTTCCATTAGCAGAACAGAATCCTTTTCTTCTTTTTCTCCCTCCTTTCCGGAATCATCCTGGAACCTACAGGATGAAGGGGGGTAATGGAAGAGGGGGGAGGGTTTTGTTGGAAGGAATGTCTCTCACTCTAGAACTGTGTGACTAGACCTTTCTCCCTCATCCCTATCTCCCATGGTCCTGGCTGACCCTGGTTTTGCCTACCAGAAATCAAAACTTCCTTCCCTGGGGGTTTGGTTCCCATTCTCTGAGAAGTTGGGGCTCCTCAAGCCCTACTGTAGTCATGTGCCACTCTTCCTGTCCTTCACAATCCACAGGCAGACAAATGGTACAGTCGTCAGACCCAGCTGTCATGGACCTATGCCTGGGGGTAACTGGAGAAGGGGCAGGGCTACCAGCTATGGGCAAGCCCAAGCCAAATATATGACTCTGAACAGGTGTCCATGGGGCAAAAAAAAAAACCCAAACCGATCATCCTCTACTTGATCAAGAAAAAAGCCAATCAACCTTTCTAGAAGCACAAAGCATTCTGCCCTGCACTGCCCATCCAGCCTGCCTCACCTGCAGCCAAGGCCTGAAATCTGGAAAGGAAGCTATGCCTGCAGGGCAGGACGTCGAGGGGAGAGGGGAAGGAGGGTTTTATAAACAAATTTATAGCAATATCAAGAGTGAAGGGAGGGAGGGGAAGAGGGTTGGAGGGGCAGAAGCTGGTCCCAGAAAGGGAAGCAACAGCTTATAAGCAGTGGCTGAGAAACAGAAAACAGGTTTGGTTTTTTTGTTTTTTTTTTTTAATGTAAAGTATTTTGGAGGGGAGAGTCAAATCTTTTAACATTTTGAATAAATACAGAGTTTTATAAAACAGGCCACTTCTTTACTACACACTCCCTGCTGTGTTGGGAAGGGCAGGATAAACCCACACCTATCAACCTGGTCACAACTAGGAATTAGGTGATGTCAGGATGTTTGCCACAGTCAGCTGTTGATATAGCTGTTCCATACAAATCAAAAAAGTTGATATTTGCTTAGATATGTTTCAGGAATCACTGGATTTTTTTTTTTCAATTATGCTGCATAATACGAGAGACATGGAATGGATCTTTTAACATCCTAATCCCAAACCAGGATAGTACATCTTTAGAAATGCTTATACTAAGTTTGCTGTTGTATCATTTTCAACAGCTGATGTAATTGATTAAACAGTTTACTGCACAATAACAAGACAACTTATGCATATTAATGTAGATTTTCACAGGCCTTTGAGCAACCAAATCATACAGAGCTGACCTGTGTCCAATATGGTGGTCACTAGTGACATGTGGCCATTTACATTTAAATAAAATTTGTAAGAATTTTAACTTTCTTACACTAGCCACATTTCAGGTCCTCAGTAGTCACATATGGCTAGTGCCTGTGGTATTGGGCTATACAAATGTAAAAATATATAGAACATTTCTATAATTGCAGGAAGTTACAATGGACAATGTTGTTCTATATAGAAGCCCTATATATGTATAACAGGAAAGTTTTATTAGTGCCAGGAGGATTCTTACTGGATGTCAGTGACTCTTAGAAAAATGAATATGATGTAAAATAACTTAAAGTGTATTCTATAATTCCCTCCCTCCTGCACTTGAACTTTTAGTTTTGATGCAGGCACTATGCTGATTAGAAATTGACTTAGAAGGGAAAATCACACCTTTAATTGTATTTTCTTTGAAAAGAAGCTCTTCTGTGTCTGCTACTCTTATCCCCAACCCCACCAAAAAAGTCCATTTGGATTAGATTTACTGGAGTTTTTCCCTTTTGACAATATAGCAGGTTGAAGGTATTCTGTTCTTAATAGCTCTTGTGGATTGAGACTTAAAATGAACCAGGCATTGTGCTGGCACTTTGTAGGCAATAATAGCTTGTTTAATCCTGACATCAGCCCTGTAAAGTGTGAATTGATGTACCTCAGTCCCTGAGAGTTCAAGTGACTTGCTTGAAGTCAAGTGCACAGGCTAGGCTGGAATCTAAATCAGCCCCCTCCTGAGCCCAGAACCTCAATTCGTTTTCCTTGTATTGCATGTAAGAGTTATAAAGCTCTGTCGGTACCTTACATATATTAGAACAGTGTCAGACACATACATTGTGATTGTAAGTCTTTATTATTGTGACTATATTTTTTTATTCCCTAGAGTTAATAATGGTTTTCATGTGCTTAGTTTTTTGGTATAAGTATCATTAATTCAGTGCCAATGTCCATTAGAAGTGTAAATCTCTTTTTGTGTATTCGAACATACCAGGTACTCTCAATTTTATCTTTTCCCCAATCCTCCTCCCACCTGGATTAGTTAACCCCAAAACAAATGTAATCATAGTGCTCCATGTGGCTCAGCTATAAGTAATATTGATAAAGTCAAAATAATGTAAATGTTCAATATTGTTTTGACCAAAAAGGAGATGGAGAAGAAGTGTATACGTAGGTGGGGCAATCACTTAAATTATCTGAAACTATAAATAAAGAGAGTATGTTATGTAGAAATACGCAGATAGATTCTAGGGAAAAGATTTGGAAATTATTGCCACAAGAGAGAGTTGGGGGTAGGGATAGATGGGGTAAGTGACTTCTGTTCATTGTCATAAATTCAGCAGATATTTTTTTCAAGTGCCTATCTATGCCAGACATTGTAGGAATTTGATTAGAAACAAATGTACAAAGATCCCTGTCTCATGAAGCTTATATTCTAAATTAAGAGTTAATATTTTTAAATTTTTCCATTTTTAAAAAATAGTAAGCAAAGAGCAAAGCACAGGGACTGGAAGATGTACTAAATAAATCACTATCATAATTTGCAGCTGCCATGTTGGAGAACTTATTGGGTGCTGGGCATTGGGCCAAGTGCTTTCCCAGTTTTTTCTCTCCTCACAACACCCTGTGAAGTACTGATACTATCCACATTGGTCTCAGAGAGGTTCAAAACTTGCCACAATAATTAATGAGAAGGGACTGGGTTTGGTGCTCCATTAGTCTATAGCCAAAGCACCCAACCACTACACTACCATTGCAGTGAGTAGGATAAAGCTGGAAACTTGGCAGCTCGTGGTCGGATCTCAAGTTTGAGTGTTTGACTAAGGGGCCCGACACCCCACGCTTAGGATGCATAAACTGGTAAGGAAGAACCTTAGGGTTTCACCAGCCCAGTGGGAGCCCCAGAAAGAGATACTGAAGCACTTTGGGTGAGCTTCACTGTTAGATTAGAGACGACAATTACCACCTACAGAACCTTCTCATTCTAAGAAATGGTCACCAAAGTGAGGCTGAGGCCTGGGACACCCCTACCTAGGAGAGTCAAACTGTCAGGATTATCTAGTCAGTGAAATCATGTTTACTGAGGGCCTTGTATGGGCAGGTCACTGTTCTGGTGTTATGCAGACTCAAAAGGTCCATTTGCCTGCATGTATCCACGCCAAAGAAGACAGGAACAGAAGATTGCAGCAAAGAATAGTAAAGATTTAAGGAATTGGCGCCAAGCCCAGAGACAAAGGTGAGCCAGGGCTCTCATAAACCTGGCTCCCCAATGGCCTCTGTTGGCTAGATTATATAAGGGAAAATCTTATGGATACTATGGGAATTGGGGTCCTGGGCTCTACTGATTGGTCAGTGCTAAGGTACAGAGCAATTGATCATGGCATGAGGTCCTGATGTCAGTCATGGCATTGTTCAGTCTAGTTTCCAGGGGATGTGGTCCGTGGCACTACTTCGCTTTCATGAGTCTGAAGCTGAAACAACAGGTCAAGGTGTTATCTTTGTTTGACTAAAAACTTATTCTTGTTTGAGGTTTGATTATTGTATCTTGGTCATGGTTGACAGACATGAAACTATGCTTAAGTCAGTTTGACGCTGACCAGAACCCAATGTCCTAAGGGCTTAACGATTAAAAGGAGTGGACATATAATACATGTACAAATAGGAGGATCTGGGGAAAGCATGCAAGTAAGAGTTTTATCAGGCTAAATAAAGCGAGCTTGGGTTAAAGTGAAATGCATGCTAAAGAATGAAGTTCATGTGCGTTTACACTGGGACAGGTTAAAGTTCTTGGTGATTTGGATTAGGACAGTGAATGTGGGACTCAAAGTAGAGTGACAAGACTTGGGGATTGCTGAAATGACAAGGTTGCCTCAATTTACATTCCCTTTAATCCTCCCCTCCCCTTACCCCAGGGCTATATACGGTAATGACGGAAGTTTTTTCAACAAAAGCTTATGTCTTGCGAAATGGGTGGCTAGGGCAGACCAGTGTCTTCTTGTCCAAGGTCGCACAGAGTTTGGGCAACTGGATCGTCCAGGCTCCTAGAGGGGACGTTTCATCTTTTCATTAATGTGCTTGAATTTGCAAGTTTTTACAATAAGCATACATTATTTTTGAAATTTTATATGTACGTGTATGTCTAAATATATAGTAAGAAAGAAACCCGAGCAAGCCAGTTACCCGAGTAACCCACCGGCCTGCGCAGGCTGAAGTCAGCCCCGCACCACCCCGTGGACTCGGGTCTGAACTCCTCCCGCCGGGAACCGGAAGTTGGGCTTCCAGCCGCGTCGCGGGAAAAATCCGGAGCGGCACACGCAGGCGCGGCCTGGGGCTTCGAGTTTCGGAGCGTGCGCAGAAGGCGTCGGAAGCGCATGCTCCGTGGCGGTCGGGGCTCGGCGGAGTACCGCCGGCGCTGGCCTCCGCGGCCCGCTGACTCCAGGCCCGGCCGCGGGCATGGCGGCCAGCTTGTGGATGGGCGACGTGAGTGAGGGCGGCCGCCTGGGTCGGACGAGAAAGAATCTTGGTGTCACGAGGGAGGAAGGGTCTGAGGGAGAGGAGTTATGGATCCCAGAAGTGAATGGGCAGGGGAGTTATTTCGGGTGACACAGAAGGGTGGTCCGAACAAGTAGGGGAAGGAAGGCGCTG